AGTATGATGGGACACATCTGTAATCCCAGCTACTTGGGAGTCTGAGGTTGGAAGATTGCCAGTTTGAGCCCAGTTTGTGTAACTTAATAAGATCAAGTCTACACAAAACAAAACAAAACAATGAGGAAGGAACAGTACTGCCAGTATGGAGTTAAGGCCTTTAAAGGTGGGCCATGCTAGCTTCAGGGCAATAGTCACTATAGCACATCTTCAAACTTTCTATTTCTTTTTTGATGTTTAAAAAAAAATTCTTGGTGATTTATTTTAAATTTCCAGGCTAAATTAAATGACAGAATGACCCCTGGGGAATGCAAGACTACCTATTTCCAAATAATCCTAAATTCCTTTGAGTCCTGATGATTAACAAATTCATCTTGAAATGACAACTATGTCCCAATTAGGAAAGAGTTTCTCTATATGAGCTTAATTTTCTGAATCCTGATTGCTAATCAACATATTACGTGATTACTTCAACAAGTACTTATAAAATGTTATTTTGTCACTGGAAAAAATGCAGTTCTGTTTTCTGACCTCTAGGCTGGTCCAGGGTCAAAAACTAATACTTGTGCCTAAAGCAACTCCTAACAACTGAACATTCTTGATCTATTCCTAAAGCTACATGTTCAACTAAGAGGATGTGTGATATACTGGAAAAAGCTCTGGATTAGAAATTAGAGATAGAGGCTTTAGTCTTAGGTCTGCAACTTTGCTATATAAATTAAGTAAGCTGTTCACTTCTTCATGGTTTCTTCTAAGGAAAAATATGAATTTGCATCATAGACAAATTTAACTGTATATGCTTGGCAAAAAATTACAAAGAAAAAACAAAAGTTTAAATAGATTTTAATCGGGAATAAGCATTAGCTTAGAAGCACTTCTTTGTAATAAATTCAGTCTGTTTTCATGACTGTCACTGTAAATAGTTCTTCTATATGATTTTATTTATTTTTGTTTTTTCGAGATAGGGTCTTGCTATGTAGTTCAGACCTTGAACTTGCAGAGATCCTCCCGGCTCAGCCTCTCATACACCTGGGATTACAGGTGTATGCCACCATACTCAGCCTACTATACGATTTTAATGTTTTTAATGATTGATATATTTATTTAGTATAAGGTCCATCCCTAAACAATCTACCAGGTCTCGAGACCTCGAAGAAAGAAACAGCCACTCAAGTGATGGGACTTGCTTATTTTAGAACCAAACAGGGTATTAACTCTACTAATTATACTGGCATAGGGGACACAAGGGTGCCACTGCATAAATAAAATTTTACATAAGGTAAAAAGATAAATATATAAAGTTTTTGGTTGCAGTTCTTTTAATAAAGATCTGGAAAAAACCTTGAATATCCAAAAGAGCAAACTGATAAAATGACACAAAAGCACAAGAGTGTATTATGCAGTCATAAAAGAACATATTATAAAGTAATAGAGAATAGCTGGTTGTTATGGTGCCTATAATCCCAGCACTGGGAAGGCCGTTGCAGGAATATCACTGAGTTTGAGGCCAGCCTGGGCCACACAGTGAGTTCAAGGACAACCTGAACTAATAGTGAGACTCTGTCTCAAAAACAAACAAACAAAACTAGAATAATTTCTAAGGTAAGTGAATAAGGTACATAAAATGCACACAGTGTGTACTACTTATGTTTACAAAGGGGGAAAATAAAACATATACTGATACTACTTGCTTATATATACTTTTTTTTTTTCAAAAAATGTACAACAGTTATCCTTTGTTGCTTGCTTCTTAGACCTAGACAGGAAACTTGTTGATTGAGGGACAAGTGTGGTAGTAACTTTCACATTTGATTTCTGAACTATGTGTACTACCAAAACAAAACAATTTAAATCATTATGACAGTAGTTTAAGATGAAATGGGATCACATCCTTAGTGGAGAACATTTTTTAAAAAGTGGTAATTCTAAGAGTTAATTTAACATCTGCAGTCAGAATGTTCAAACTACAAGGGACATTCCTTAAGATATCCATCTCTTCTAAACTTCTTTTCATAGATGTGTAAACCAAAGCCTTCAAAATTAAGCGGCTTGTGAAAAGTCACATAACAGAAGAGATGGAATGTTATACTATCTACTCTATGTCTCTATCAAACTGTTTTCTCATTTTGTATAGGAAGAATAGAATCAGGTGAATTTAGGCTACATTATGAGTTATCTCATATTCTGTCTAAATTTTAGTCTTCAGTATGAAAACCTTAATCGCTGGGACTACTGATTTCTTGTTTGGACCACTATAAGGTTACACTTACAAACAAGCTCTGCCTGGGCTGGGGTTTAGCTCAATAGTGCCTTGCCTGCCTCGTGAGTGCAAGGACCCAAGTTTAATCCCCATTCTAAAATAAACAAACAAGCTGGGCCTAACTTTATAACTGCACTAATACAGTATAATAAATGCATTTTTAAATCATAACTAAATTCACCAAGGGCAAGTGCTAAAATGCCTCACATTGATTTTTTAAAATATAAAAATTCTTAGCACAAGTTTATTGCAAAAATAAAATTCATGTAGGTTCCTTAGCTAAAGCCCAAGTGTTAGAGGTGTTTAAGAAAAAATAATTTTTTGGAATTAAAAAAATGTTAGAAGGTACACAAATCAATTACAACATCACATATACCAGTGGCCAAGAGCAGCACCCCATAATTAAACCTTGGTTTTAGCAAAACATTTGAGATAAAGACTACATATAGCTTCTCATTAGTTCTAGTTATATTTTGCTACCAAATAAATTTTGTCTCCAAACAGAAAAACTTGGAGCTTTCCCAACGTTAACTTTAGATAAGGGATTAGACTATAGTCACAGGGTGCTGCAAGAAAGCATCACTAGTTACTTTAACTCCACCTTTCTGATGAGACCTGAAGAAGCAATTGTAGCAGGCAGCCTGTATATCAAGTATGAGCCACAGAAATTTATTTTGGTTAAGGAATTCAACTTTATAAGAGCTGACTTCATGAGAAGAGAAAATGAGAGAAAGACAGAAAATCCTGCATGGCATTGTACTCCCACTGTAGTTACTCATTAGCTATTAGTTCAAAAAAATAAATTAAAGCTAAAGGGCTTTCTTTTAGTAAATGAATATGATAAAAGAAATAAGTAAACATAATTTCTGTTCCATATTGCTGACAAAAGGGAGGAGGCAATGAGCTTTAATCCAGTGGAAGGTGACTCCACTCTTCAGGACCACTGTACATAGGAAAGGAATTCCAAATTCACTGGTAAGGAATAAGCAGAAATGTATACAATTTTGTCAATTTGGCATGAGTAGTATCTAAAATTAATGAGAGTAATATTCAATTTTTCCTAATCGCCTACATCAGAATCTCTCTATAAAGATGCTTTCCTGCTTTTTACAAGAAGAAAAACTCTCCAAAGTCAAAACAATACAAACTAACATCTTTTCTATTCTCTCCCCAAACCAAGTCCCATTTCTATTTTGTTCCAGTCATATTCCATGGGCGGGGAATGTCAGAGAAGTAAAATTTGTACTTGAGTACTATAAGTCAACTTTTCAGGTGACAATGTTTGACTTTTGATGTAATTCAGTTTGATGATGTTGCTCTGCAATCTTAAAAATTTTAGCTACATTTTTATTCACCCAATTGTTTTGCTCCCTTTGAGTTAGCATTCAGTCAGTGTTTTATCACCGAAAAGGTGTATTCCTTTCTAAAAATGGAAATAGCAATGGCGTGCAAGAAAAAACCCAATTAGTTTTGGCTACTATGTCGAGGAAGAACTATTCTCAAATTTTCATTATAATCCAAAATAGAAAATCTAAGCATTAACATATATATCAGTCCATGAATAATTTAGTACCACTACAAAAATAAGTAAACAAAAACCAACCTATTTTTATCTGGAGAAAAACTCCTAATAAACTATTGGATCTCTTGACCATCTAGAAGTGCAATTTCTTTGTACACAAGACTTGGTTCCTCCATACCATTCTGCCAGTTACTAGTATTATTCCCAAATCATTTAAGGAAGCTGAAAGCCAAAAGCAAAAACCCAGATCCCCCCAAAAGCCAAAGCACAGACCAAAATGCCAATTGTGGTCCCTCTGTAAAGAAATGGTCAGAAACTGCAGTGATATCCTAAGGCACAGAAACAATCGGACCCGAAGGGCTTTTGGATTAAGCTGCTTTCAAAAATTAGAATTCAGACTCAGACACAGCAGCTGCAGTCACGATGTCCCTTAAACCACATGACCTCCCTACAGAAGTCTTTAAAACTTATCAACTAAAATGACAACTCCCCTTTCTCAGAAGTTCAAACAAGGCAGGGCAGCTGAAACGAGTGCGCCAAAGGGCAGATTGGCTGCTTATTATCAGAACGGGTTATGGAGAGCCAAGGCCCTGCGCTTTCACGACTCTCCTTACCGTTAGATGATCTGGGAGGGAGGAAAGGAGGAGAAACACCCCAGAATCCTGGCAGAAAAGCCCCTGGCCTCGAAGGTGGTGTTTAGGGGGAAGGGAGGGGCAGCTCCGTGTGTGGTGACCCTTTGTGAACACGCAACTGAGCACTCGGTTCTCACCGAGGCTGAAGGAGCTGGCTGCGTACGGGTGCCTGGCGCTGCTCGGCTGTGGAGGCCGAGGCATCACAAGGACGCCCAAGCCGAAACTCCAAGGCAGCCCTTTTCGGCTCCTAGCCCACCCTGCGGGCCGCTCCGGAGCCCAGGGTTGCCAACCCGGACTCTCGCGGTACAACCCGATCTCTTTCCTCAGCGGCGTAATCCCTCCGCAGCGGGCCGCGCACTAGTTTTAATCACGCCCCACCCCCTGACGCCGGCGTCACCTCCGCCACTCGAGCGCTTTCCAGCAGCTTCCAGAAACGTCGCCTTTCCAAACCCAGCCACTCACACAAAGGGGGTTGGGTAGTCACCGGCCCTGCCCCTATTCGTGGTCGGAAATGAAACTGAGGCAGCGGCTGCAGAGTGGAAAGCCACGCCTCTGCGGGGCCCTGGCGGAAGTGCGTCGGTCTTCGCCTTCCCCGCCACTCCTACGTCCTTTCAAGCCCGGCTAGCAATGGGAAGGGGAACTCTTTAGCCTCGGACTCCAACCGGAAGTTGCTTTCCGGGTTGAGACGCGGTGGGGGAGGAGTACCCCGAGGGGAACGTGAGTTGGACGTTGCTGCTTGGTGTTGTGGTGCGCAGGCTGGAACGGGAGTTCGGGCCGGCCGGGTACGAAGGAGGGGAGTGCTCGGTAAAGGTAAGGGGAAAGAGGGAGTAGTTTGCTTCGGCTATCGAAATAGGGGAAAAAGACCGCTTGGGTGTCCTATGCCTTGGACACGCACGCTGCAAAAATGAGGTGGGGTGGGACAAGGTTCGGGTGGGAAGGGTTGTAGAGTTAGAGGTGCAGGTCCGTTTGGGCGCAGAGAGGTAAACACTGAAGAGAAACCAGAGTTGGCTCCTCTCCCGAGGAACGTGGGGATGGGCTGGGTTAGCGGATCGCTAAGCCTCTTGGGTTTCCAAGGTTAGATTTTGATAACTCGTCTCGTTCGATCCTGCCGCTGTCTTGATTGCACACAGATGGGGATTAGTACCCAACAGGGCTGCGGTTGAAAGCCGACCCGGTTCTTCACCTTTGGGTTCGTAGGGGCTTCGCTTCGACGGTTCAGATGCTGAGCCTACTTGGGCTTGAAGCGCAGAACTCGAAGAGGTACTAAAGGCCTTTCTTCGAGCAGTTATTTCTCTAGGTTTCCGCGTTTTGCTCACGGGACTGAATTAAGGTTACTTGCATACTTTTGCTAATCCTTAGGGTCAACTCTGCTCCACATTCATTGTCCTGTCACTGGGTCCGTATTGAGTAGGGACTCTGGGCTATCAGTGGCTTACCCACCAACATTTCAATGAGAAAACCAGGTAGGCTGGTGGCAGAAATACTAAATATTTAGAACCCCTCCCAAAGAAAATCCATAAAAATTAAAAAAAAAACAAACACACAAAAAAACTACCTAGGTCTTCTTTCAAATACAAAAATCCTGCGGTGGTTCTTAAACTAGTATGTCCCTAAAATAACTGCATTCACTGTCTTTCCTTCAAAAATAATTTGCTCCTGCTCCCAGTATCTCACATAAATTTTGGCGTCTCCAGCCTTTCAAACAAACTAGAAAGTTTGAATCCTTCTCAGCTCTAGTTTGTCTTTTTCACGCAGCAAGTCACCAAATTCTGTTAACAGTTCTTTTGAAAAGGTTTCCTCTTTCCATTCCATCCCCACTTCACATCTGTCAAAACGATGCTCCCCCAAAACAAGCCCAAACTGTCTCTGCTCCGGTTAAAATCACGTATTTGCCCGAGCCATGTTACAGTAAAAGTCCATCCAAAAAGCTAAGTATGATCTTAAGGGTAGAACGTGACTTAAAAGTTCACTGCACGGTGAGACCAACCTAGCTTTTTGTCTTCCTCTACTTCACCCAGCATCCTTCTTCTTACATCCCTCTTTCAAGAAAATGAAAAACGTGCAATTTAGAGTAATCCTCAAGGCAGTCCTTCTCAGCCAGATGATTTTACTTTGCCAGGGGCATTTTGGCAGTGTTTGGAGACATTTTTAATAGGTAGACATCAGCGATGCTCCTGCATGTTGTGCAATGCATGACAGTTCCTAAAACAAAAAACTATCCGATCCAATTTTAAATTTAAATCCGATCCAAGATGTGTGGTGCTATAGATGAGAAAGCCTTTCTTTTGATTATTGATTTTATTTTTGAAATTATTCCTTGACTTGAAAGGTGTGTGAAATTAATACAGCTGGAACAGAATATCATAACTAGTTTTTAAAAGTGAATTGGTAAGCCACTGAATCCCAGAATACGGTTTTTGTAGAATGATGGATTTTATGTTGTGGAAAGACTTAAGCTTGAAACTCTTACAACGTGCTTGCTAAGTAATAATTTTCTTTTGCTTAAAGAATTCTTACATGTGCTTTTGCTATATTTAAAATTCATATTTAAATTGCTTTTAATTGCGTTTTCCACGTACTTAGCTATAATTTTGATCACTGGATATGGTTTTACTTTACAGGGATACACTCACAACAGACTTGTCATGTAATTTGTACTATGGCAATGTTTATATGTTTTGTTCTGGTGCAGATCATTTACAGAAACAAATTGGTGTTACCAACTTTTAAAAAGTAACATTCTCAGCCAATGAAATATTGGTTAAAAATAAGAATGTATGACACATGTGATTCATTGGTTCTTTTGTACCTGTTAAATAATAAAACAGTGAATCCTGGAGGTATCAGGTATTTTCTCATGGTAATGTGGAATGTTTGATTATAATTGTGCATAGACACTTAAAAACTTACATTTTCAAACTCTGGTCATATAGTTTGCTTTAAATACATAGTAGCTCCCAGTACTATATGTTTTGTTTAATTTGCTTACCAGAGAGTTGGGTGTGGAAATATAACCTATGGCCAGTTTTTGCTCTCTTCCCATCATTTGCAAAATATATAAATAAATTTAGGTATTTTCAATTTCAAGATCACAATTTTAGGGTATGACTATCCTTGGACTAAAATATATTTCTTTTATAAAATAACATAGCTTTTTGTTTTAGAGTAAGTAGGATTTTTATTTAATGTCTTGACTTTTTTTTTCCAGGGTTCATTGAAAAATCCTTAGTGATATTGACATGTTTCAAGTGACATAAATTAGCCAATGACTCGGAATGATGGATTCTCTGAAGATTGGAAATGGTTTGCCAGTGATTGGACAAGGGCCTGATATAGGGATATCTTCACTCCCCATGGTGGGGTATTTGGGAAAAGTTAGTGAACTTATTTTTTGCCTCAGTGCAAAGTTGTTTTTTTTTTCCCCCTTGTATTTTTGAGACTTAAATTTGGTATTTAATTTTACTAATTCTAAAAAAAAATATATCTTCCACGGAAATCTTACAGCAATGGCGAAAGATTGTTTACCTCTGTGTTTTATTGATATATGAAAGTAGAAATAGAACATGGACCTTATGGTTTTCTATTTGAAGATAATGAAATTTATTTTGCCCTGGCACTCGATGTTACTTTTTTTCTTGCAAATAAAACTGATGCTATGGTTAACACTTAAAACTTAATCTTTAGTCTTTAAAACTATAATATTCCTTTTTGAATAATAACTATTTAAAACCTTATATGCATTTGTTTTATTTGCCATATGTACTCTTGCCAGGATACTTGTTGAAAACTAATTTTTTTTCTGGTTACCTTTCCATTTGACCTTTTGTAATTAGGTGCAGTTTATATAGGTCTATATTTTAATTTGCTGTATTTCTCTTCTAGAATTATGATTCAGCTAAAGTTGCATCAGATGGATATTGTCCTGCTTGTAGGGAAAAGGGAAAGTTAAGAGCTTTAAAGACTTACCGAATTAGTTTTCAAGAATCTATCTTTTTGTGTGAGGATTTGCAGGTAAAGTATTATTGTACATCATATATAGGTTTTAACCTTTTACATTTTTCTTCATTATTTTAACTCATTTTGTATTTTTTACAGTATAGATTTTTAGTACATAATTTGATGTTGTAAATCTGATTGGTTAAACTTTTTAACATTTTGATTCCTGAGTTGGTACATATGTGTTTGTTTAACTTTGTGGGGGTTTTTGTTAGCTATTAGTATATAGTACTTACTCTCTCGTGGCTTTGGTTTATTAACTTTGGGACTGATTGAAAAAGTTATTGTTTCTATTTTACCTGGAAGAGTATTTTAGAAATTGGTTAGTCCAAAAACTCTGTATTCTCTGTGCTAAATACTATGTATTTAAAAATCTGTAAATACCTTTTAGAATTAATTACAGTAATTTGTATCTACTGGTATAACTTTTATATAGGTCATTAAATTCTTCAGTACTCAACATTTTATTGTAGTAACAGTTTATGAAACTTTTGTACACATTAATTCTCAAACCTTTGTAAGATAGCTATTCTCCCCACCCCCAATACCAGGACCTTGCACTTCCCAGGCAGATACAGCACTGCTGAGGTACATCCCTGGCCCCAGTAGTCTCATTTTTCAAATAAGAAAACAGAGACAGGCTGGAGATGTAGCTCAGTGTTAGCCTGCTTTCTAGGTATACACAAGGCTCTGGGTTTCATCCCTGGCACAGTAAAAAAGAAAACAGATTTAGAGAGTTTAGGAATAGAAGATCTTTATAAAGTGGCAGAGCTGTGATTGGAATGTAGTTCTCTAATTTCAGATCCATTTACTTCAGTGAAACTAGCAGTTCATCAGAATCACCTGGAGTGCTATTAAAATATTTCTGGGTCTTACCCCTAGATACTGATTCAGTGGAGTTGGCTCAGAATTTTTAACCTTTGAGGATGAATCTGGTTACTAGCTTAGTTTGAAAGATATGAGGCTAAATCACAGGGCTGGTGGTAGATACTTCTCTGGATGTAATTTGACAGAAAACATTTATGCATTTATTCGGTGTGTGTTTCACTGTGTTGGCACTATTCCCAATCCCATGATGAATATAATACGTTATGTTCTGAAGTAGAAAAGACCATAAAGATAATAAACAATACCATTTATTTTTCTCAGATGCTAGAAAATATTGTGGAGAAAAATCAAGCAGTGGCCACTAGAGTGTCAGGAGGACTTTGCAATTATAAATAAAGTGGCAAGCAGAAGTCTTCATTGAGAAAGTGAAATTTGAGCAAAGGCTTTCAAGAGGCCTGTCTTCTGTCTTCCAGGAGAAGTAGCACAGGAAGGGCTTGAGAGTGGAAGCTGCTTGTCATATTTATACTATAGGTAGTGAAACCAGCAGAACTGTATTTGATAAGAAGTGGAATGATAGAAGACAGGTCAGAAGAATAATTGGGGAGGTGGCCCAAGTCAGGTCTTAACATCCATCTCTTGACTTTAAGTCTGGGTAAAATGAGGAACCATAGCAGAGATATTGTCAGAAGAATGGTGATACCATCTGATTTATGTGTTAAAGGGATTGCTTTGGCTGCTGGGTTGAATGAGTAATGGGTAAGAGTTTGCTTTAGTTACTTTCTCATTGTTGGGATAAAATCCCTGATGCCTACAACTCTGAGGAAGAAAGGTTTATTTCGACTCATAGTTTGTAGAAGTTTCAGTCCATAGTGAACTGGCTCCAAGGCAGGCCAGCATGGAATAGGGGCATTGCAGGGGAGAAAGCTCTCAGCCTCGTGGTGGGAAGCAGAAAGAGATCAAAGAAAAATGAAGGAGATAGACCCTGTCAGGTCATGTCCCAGTACCATACCTGCAGGCTTCAGCCCTTAGTGTCACATTTAGCTGTAGACTCATAATCCACGCACACATGATCTGTACACTGGCTTTGAACTAGTAGCCTTCTGCCTCAGGCTCCTGAGTAGATGAGATTACTTCACCCCTTTTAAAAAGGATTTTAAATAATTAGTGTGATCAGGGAAAACATTTTTATTTGTAAAATGAGTGTAAGTTATTTTTATACTTTGTCTTTGGCAAATACTTTGTAGAAAATTATTTTCCAAATACAAAATATGTTTTCCTTGCTTATTTTTTTATAAGAATAAAAACAAATTTATTTAAGCTGCTCCCCTCGAAAATAATCACTGAAAGACAGTGTTAGGATTTTTGTTTTTTTTAGCATTAGACTTTAAATGATATTAGATGGTAGTACTGAGCTCAAATATTAATGTCTTTATCTCCTTAAAGCTTTTTTTAAAGACAGAGTAAAAGCTTTATTCTAGTTGCAGAATTATATTCACTATAAATAAAATAGAAACTAAAGTCAAATATAAAGAGTTAAAAATAGAAGCCTCCAAAAACATTTAGGGAAACCATTCAAGCCATTAACTTTTGTGCCCAAGGGCCCTTTCCTGGTTTAATGATATATTAAGTTAAGCAGGTGTACAGGTAACATGTATACACCATAATCAGATTGATAAATAGCTTGTGTTTTGGTTTTTAGTGGGGTTTTTTGCTGCTCGTTTTTTTTTTTTTTGTTTTGTTTTGTTTTTGGTACTGAGGATTGAGCCCAGGGCTTTTGCGCTGACCTGTGTCCCAAGCCCTTTTTATTTTATTGTTATTTTGAGAGAGGGTCTTATTCAGTTGCCCCAGCTGGAGTCAAACTTGACATCCCTTTGCCTTAGCCTTCCAGAATGCTAGGATTGTGGGCCATCATGCCCACCTTGTTTGGGGTCTTTAAAATTCTTTTTAAGTTTCAGGAAAAGACATAACAATTTATCACTTAAACCTTTCTTAAGAGTATAGCTCAGGAGTATTAGATATATTCACAGTTTTGCAACACATCCAGAGCTTTCTTCAGCTTGCAAAACTAAAGTGCTATGTCCAGATATCCTAGTTCTGCTCTTGGCAATCCCTACTATACTGTTTCTATAAATCTGACTATCCCAGATATCTCATATAAATGAAGTCATACACTATATTTCTTTTATGTGACTTATTTCACTTAGCTTAATGTTCTTGAAGTTCATTTATGTTGTAGCATGTAACAGGATTTTCTTCCTTTTTAAGGCTGAATCAATTTATTTTGGCTATACCATGTTTTCTTTATCTGTTCATCTGTCATTGGACATTTGGGTTGTTTCTCTCTTTGGCTATTGTGAATAATGTGGCAGAGAACATGGGTGTACAAGTATTTGAAATCTTATTTTCAATTTTTTTGGTATATATACCTTTATGTAGCTTTTGGTAGACACAGGTAATTGTTAATTTTAGTTTTTTCAGTTTCCTGGCAATGTAGAATTTAGGAAATCTCAAAGTATAAAGATGACAGTCAAATTACTATTGATATTGATCATGCACGTAGTTGATAACAGAATCTAGACCTTGTTCCATGTGTACTAAGGAATTTCACAAGTATATTTTAGAAGTAGTATTCATTTGTAGAAGCCCCTAGGTAGGGAAATTCATGCATTTCACTTATCTGTTGTTGTGAATCACTTCAAAACTGAGTAATTATTTTCATGACTTTGTGGGTTTGACAGGTAACTCATTCCATAGGATGTCTGCTGCAACAGCTGAAATACTTGTATGTCTGCAGGTAGTGCTAGCAGCTCTGGGAGCTGAATTAGGCAGTCAGTTGGGAATCTCAGATCTTTTTCATGAGGTTAATTGGGTTTAGCAGTATGATAGCTGGGACTAGGAGGGTTTCAAGAGGACAATCCATTTGAGCCAGTGTTTATTGGACTTCCGTGTACATCGTGTGTTTTAGTGTTCTGTCAAAGCTAGTCATGCAGCTGATCCCAGTCTGTGTAGGAGGGGGACTGCGGGCCTGAATTACAAGGAGGGTGTGGTTCTTTAGTTTACTCGAGGCCACTGGAGGAAGCAAGCTATCATACTTAGTTTAGAAAAAGGCACATTTTAAATGAGGGCAGTTAGTACTATATATAGATTCTTGAATTTGTTTGTAGAGTATCTTGGTAGTCTTCAAAGTCAGGAAAAGTTCACTAATGATTTGTGTACATTTTTATATTTGGATGAAAAAGTTAACACACAGTATGATTTGATGACATTGAAATTCAGCCAGTTTAACTCTAAACCCTATAAGGGTATAAAATAGCAAAGTTCTCAGATTCATGTTCAATTTCAGAATATAAGAAAAATATCAATTTTTCTGTGCAGTGTTTTTATTTCAAAATACTCTTCCAGTATTTAATGTTACACAGTGTGTGTCCCAAAAAAATAGTACTCTCCATAGTGTCTTCACATTGTTGAAAGTTAAAAGTAATTGACATAAAATTTCTTACTAACGCAAAAGCAAATGTTTTCTTGCTAGTGTACCCTAATCTAGATTAAATCTTTGATTTTTCAAATTAACTAGAAAAAAGTATTTTGGAGGCCTAATTTTGATTGGCTCTAATACTTCCAAATTTAGGCTAATATAGTTGCTAATGTCAAGTTAATCTTAAAATTTCATATATTTTTTATGATACAGGAATTATAAGGTAAAAATGAGCTTATTAGAATTTCTATAGCTTTTATGACTTTATTTTTCTTTCCTAGTGCATCTATCCTTTGGGCTCTAAATCACTTAATAATTTAATTTCTCCTGATTTGGAAGATTGTCACACTCCAAATAGGCCTCAAAAAAGAAAGCTCCTGGAAAACAGCTGTAAAGATTTATCTCTTTTAGCAAATTCCAAAAAGACTAGAACTTATATTGTTACTGGTGATAAACAAATTTTAAAAAGTGAACATAATGGAGAAGTATATAATGAAACCTCGTCAAATTTACTACTTCGTAGTAGTCAACATGATTCAGTTAGGACAGCTGAATCCTTGGGACAGAATAAGATTTTGGAAGCTGATAGTGTTGATGTGTCTGCTGAAGATCCTGCTACAGTTGATGTCTCTAGAACTGGGGGACTTTCTCCTCAAAATGAAGGATGCACATCTGAATTTGAAATGCCATGGGAGAGAATGTGTTCATCATTTTGCCAGACTTCATGTGTCCAGTGGAGAAATGCTAATGCTCTCTGCTGGTTAGATTCTATCTTGTCAGCTTTGGTGCATTTGAAAGCCTTGAAGAACACTGTGACTGATTTGTGTTCTAAAGACTCTGTATTTTGGCAGTTGTTTGAAAAATATGATCAAGCAAATAAGCTCCTGTACACCAGTCAGTCGGATGAAGTTAAAGGTTGGTATTAATATATTCTTTCTAAGTTTTAAAGATTTTAATGTTTTTTCTCATAGTGAGAGGAAAAGATGCCATCAGTAGTTTCTGTTCTGTGAAGTCCTGGGCCCAGAGAGCCATGAAGTGTTACGAATTCTCAGGTAACACCAGCCACAACATTGTGACTGCCACAGAAGCAGCCTTTTCCAAAAGCTACTAGTGAAGAAAGGGGCTGTGGTTGTGCCTTAGCTTGTCAAGATGATAGTAGTTATCACATCATTGTATCAAAGTAAAATCTTAAGTTTTTAACTACTGAAAAGTAGACTAAAGTAAAAACTTGTAATGAAAAATCCACCCCCAAATCTGTATAACAAAGGGTGTATTATTGTTTTATTTTTGATAAAATAGGATACCCCTGAAACTACCTTGTAACCCAAGAAGTATTAAAAAAATTCCAGTTTCTTCTTTCTATTTGTGTGTTCATTGTTGTCTCCTACCCACCTTTACCTGGAGGTAATTATCACCTTGAATTTTATTTCATCATTCTTTAACATATGTATAGCTAAACAGTACATTGCTGAATTTAGTTTTGAACTTTTTTAAAGGGGCATTGTACTATGTGTGTTCTGGTACCTTTCCTTTTTGTAAAGTTCTGTGAAGCTAATTGTAGTTGTAATTCAGTGATTTTCATTGCTGTATAATGTTTCCATTTTGGAACTACATCAGTGTTGTCTTTCCTCAGTATCTATAGGTTCCAGGACCTCCTGCAGATGCCAAAGACAAGGATGCTCAAATTCTTTATATACAGTGGCTTGATACTTGTTTAGAACCTTTGCACATCTTCCCATATGCTTTTTTTGGGGGGTACCAGGGATTCAACTCGGGTCTTTGCGCTTTCGAGGCAGGCAGCGGCACCACTGAGCTAAATCCCCAGCCATCCCATATACTTTAAATCACCTCTGGATTACTTACATTTCATGTAAGTGCTGTGCAAATAGCTGTTACATTGTGTGGAGAATAATGACAAGGGATCATATATATTCCCTATTCTGTGAAATATCCGTGGTATGCTTATTCTGTTGGATTCATGACTTCTTTTTTGGTACTGGGGATCAAACTTGGGTCCTTGCACTTGTGAGACAGGGAGCGAAACCACTGAGCTAAGTCCTCAGCCCCTCATATGACTTTTTTAACATCCTTATTGGGTTTCTACATCAGATATGTGTTGTTGAATCTCCTCCCAGTTTCCAGCTTGTATTTTTACTTTTAAAAGATGTCTTTTGAGTTACAGGAGGCTTTAGCATCCCTTTGGGAACTAATGTTTGTAGCTTTTTAAAGGAATCTTTTACCAAGGTCAAGAAGTTATTCACTAATATTTTCACCGAAAAAATCAGTTTTATTTTTTGATATTGAAATTCTTAATTCACCCAGGGTTAGTATTATGTGTGGTGTGAGGGTAAGGATCCATTGTTTATTTCTTGTGTAGCCTGTTTTTCTAGCTCCACTTTTTTTGTCAGCTGATTTGCCATGCCACCTTTGTCATGTGCCAGCATTCCATATACATGTGTAGCTGCTCCTTGGTTCTCAGTTTTGTTCTGCACCCCTGCTTTTTTTTTTTTGAGACAGGATCTCACTATGTAGTTCAGACTGCCCTGAAACTCACTATGTAGCCAGGCTGGTCTCAAACTTGCAGCAATCTTTCTGCCTCAGCCTCCTGAGTGCTGGGATTACAGGCGTACACCATCATGCCCAGCTTTGTGCCACTGTTTTATATGGCTTCTACTTGAAATTAGTTTGAAGTGCTTTGATAAATATTTCTTTTCTGATCTTATTTGTGCTTTTTTTTTTTTTCCGGGGGGTGCTTAACATTATGCAAGAGTTTTTTTTCTTTTTGTTTTTATGTTTATTTGGGTTTTTTTGTTGTCGTTTGCTGCACTGGGGCTTGAACTCAGAGCCTTCACACTGAGCCACATCCTTATCCCTTTTTATTTTCTATTTTTTTATGAGACAAGGTCACTGAGTCAATATTGGCCAGGCTGTTCTAGAACGTACAATCTTCCTGGGATAACAGACATGTGACACTATGCCTGGCTCAAGTTTTCTTCACTTGGCATTGTAGATACTTTCTTATGCATGTATGTGACTTAAGTTGTCCAGTCTCTTGTGTAGATCCTGCACATTACTTCACACTTACTAACTATGCAGGCTACTAGCATGTTTTGCTATTAGGAATTCACACCATGACAAGTGTCCATATATCTTTTTGATACAATATGATTAAAATTCTAGCAAGGATGTTAAAACTAGAGTGTTAATGGTCTTGCTGAATGGCTTTCCAGGAAGGTTGTGCTAACATAGTTTCATTTTTCTTATGTGAAAGAAAATAGTTTGAGTAGTCTAACAACCTTTAGATTGTTGAAAAGTTAGGATTTTGTTAAGAAATGTTTCACTTTGAGTTCCTTGGAGACTAATTTGTGTGTGTTTGTGTGAGTGTGAGTTGTTTGATTTTTGCTACAATTCAATTTTTCAAAGGTTCTCCCTTGGGGGTAATGGGATTTACTGGGAATCAAACACAGGGCCTTCCTTACACATGTTAGGCAACTGCTCTATCACTGAGCTATATCCCACCCCTTTAAAACATTTCTATTTTATTTTGAGACAGGATCTCCTAATGTTGCCCGGGTTGGGCTCAAACTTGCAGCCTTCCTGGCTCAGCCCCCCCCCCCTTAAGTTTATTGGTACATTTAAAGCAGATAATACAGTTAAATTTATCATTGGAATGTTATACCTTTACATGATGTATCTTGGTTCTTATTTTTTCCCCATACCCCTGCCCTCTCTTCATCCCCTTCAACCTTCCCTATTCACAAAGACTTTGTTTCCATTTTTTTCCTTTTCTCACATTTTTCCCTTATTTTCTTTCCCCTCCCTTTCCCACTTCCCCTTTAGCCATTTTTTTTCCTATTTCACACTATCAGTTATATCATATGAACCTTATTTACACTTAGTTTTTCACACTAGAGAATCTATTTAGTATTTACTTAAATGTCCTATTTATTTCACTTAAAGAGTATAGGCTCCATGTGCATCCATTTAGCTATAAATGTCTCTAGTTTCTTATTCTCTCAGCCTCTTGAGAATTGGGACTCCAGTCATGTACACTCTGCCTGCTGCCCTTGGCTTTTCTTCTGTTTCGGTTTTCTGTAGTTGGTCAGCAGGGTGACTGGCTCAGTTGATTATTTCAGAAGAGCAACATTGAATATTGGAATTAACTTTAGCTTTATATTTTTATATTTTATATTTTTATATATTAACTCTTCACAGAATACAGTTCTTATAATCTGATTGTAAGTTATAGTTGAGCATTGTTACTTTGGATTGTAGTTTTTCCATGATCAAATAAAATTTTGGTTAACATGTTCCACCAGCTTGAAGTACCAGTGGTACATGCATGGCTGTCCCATTGAGTGGCTTGTAACACCGATGGTATAAACAGATTTAATGACTTGGTCTTTTTACTAGAAATAAGTCTATAAATGGGCCAGTTAGTTACTTGAATTTGAATTATTACTGCCAAATACAGATATTAATATTGTGTATGCCAGTTGAAAATACTATGTTTATTTCATTAAATTAAAAGAAATTCGTTTACATTCATGAGTAGTTTATAAATAATTTTCTAAATTTTGACATGGAAATCTTACAAGCTCCCCATTCCTGGTATAATAATACACATTTATAGCTGCTGTAGCACAACTTAGTTGTATTTTAACTTTTTATACCATTTTCATGTTTTTCTTAAGGAACTATAATATGATGGCATCCAATCTGCTGAATCAAGGCCTTTCTTTGCATTATTGTAATCAAACACCCCCTGAGAAGTAGTATAAGCTGTCCAATGGGACCGTCAGTCATGCATGGACCATCAGTGGTTCAAGCTGTTGGACTCTTTCATGTTAAGGAGAATCCAGATATTTTCCTTATTGAAACATAAGCAGAGTGTGATCAGTTTGTGTGAATTACTTTAAGAGACTTGAGAGAAAAGATCCTTTTATATCTTGAACACAGCTAGAGTCAAATGCATATAGAGTCTGTGAAAAATAAATTTCCTGTTAGTCTTGGTAGTTTCTTACTATATTAATTCTATTTTGAGGACTTTTATCCTAAAGAAGTGATCAAAAATATGGACAGATAAATGTCCCCAAATCTTTATTACTGTAACATTTATAATATTGTTGGTTTTATGTTTTTTTTTTGTTTTTTGTTTTTTTGGTACTGGGGATTGAACTCGGGTCCTTGTGCTTGCAAGGCAGGCCACCGAACCGCTGAGCTAAATCCCCGGCCCAAACATTTATAATATTGAAAAAATAAACAACTTACATATCCAGCAAAGGAAGAGTGATAGTAAACTGTGTACTGTATAAGTCATAATATAATAACTAGCCTGAAAAGTGTTTAATGAACTAAATTTCTGTAAACAAAGCAGAATATGAAATTCTATAAAGTTTGTGATGTCAAAGCCCTTTCTACCCCACCCCTCAAAAAACAGAGTGAAATATACCAAATATTAGTTTGGAAAAAAAATCATGACTTCAGATTTCTTACAAACCTATCTATTCCTATGACTTAGCTAAGTTCAAAAAATTATGCAAAATGTAATTTTTAGATATTGTTTCTACCATAGGTAGTAATAACATGTAAAGAGATATGTTCAACTGCTTCATAGACGGACAGAATTTCTTTAGCTACAAGTTAAGTATTGTTGGTGTGAAAATCCAAAATTTGAACTGCTCCAAAATCTGAAAGTTTGTAATCACCAACATGCCAAAAGTACTTGAGCTCATGTGACAGATCACAGTAAAAAAGCAATATTTAGTGAAAATATAGTGTAAAATTACTCTCAAGCTATGTGTATATGAAACAAATGAATTTCACACTTACACTTGTCTCATTCCCCAAATGTATCATTATGAGGATTCAGTTATTCTGAAATATGAAGAAACCTGAAACCCAAAACACTAGTGGTTCCAACTTGTATTTTAGTAGGCCTCTGCTTTATTTGGTGAGAAAGGTTTTCACCAACGTTTTAAATGATGATAATATTGTGCAGATAACAAATACTAAGGGAATATATGATCTACCACAGAGGAGGAAGAATTAAGGACATTTTGTGTTTTGCCTTTTATGTATCTTTTTGCAAAACTTAAATTATTTTGAGAAGCTTTCACTGTTAATGCCTTCACTTTTCTGTGGAAAGATATACACAATAATGAGAAATTGATAATATTCTGTTTTAGGTGGAGATTATAAAAAATGTACTTCAGAAATATTTGCAGAAATAGAGACCAATCTGAATGAAGTTAGAGATGAAATTTTTACTAAACTTCAGCCTCAGCTTAGATGTACATTAGGTAAGTAATTGGTGACTTCTCTGTCATAAAAAATATGTATATCATATGAAAATACATTGTTTTAGTACTTTGGATGATCAGATTCTTAGGAGAGAGAATCCAGGCAGTATGACTTAGAAATCTACCATAGGCTAAATCACTGTTGTGCAAAGCTATTCTATATAAATATGTAGGCTGGTATTTTACCTCTTGAAGTTGGTACAAGTCTCAGAACTAAGTGAATATTTGGGGGAGGGTACATCTTTTGTTATTTCTGCAAAACTTTTCCCTCAGTTGGCTGTTCCAGCATTTTCAACTTTGTGCATTAAAAAACACATAAGGAACAGCCAGGTACCTTGGCACACACCTGTAATCCCAGCACTTGAGAGGCCAAGGCAGGAGGATCACAAGTAATAATAATAATAAAAATGGCTGGGAATGTAGCTCAATGTTAGATCATCCCTGGTTCAATTCCTAGTTACTGCCCCCGCCTCATCAGGAAATTTAAAAGTCAGTACCAGTGCTAGGGCCCGATACCAAGTGAGTTAAGTCAGAAACTCAAGGGTAAGGTTCAGGTAATCAGTAATATTTAGAAGCCCCATATAGGATTCTTACATGTGGACAGGTTTGTAAGTCTCACTAGAGTAATTCTGCTTTTCATACCAATGATTGTAAGAATGGGCTTTGGGGGCCGGGGATTTAGCTCAGTGGTTCTACCACCTGCTTTGCAAGCACAAGGTCCCAAGTTCGATCCCCAGTACCAAAAAAAAAAAAAGGACTTTCATCAGTGGATTATTGAGATATATGCTAATGACCTTTTGGGAAGCTTTCTTACCTTTAAAAACAGAACAGTAATGGGACTTGCTATGTTCTTTGTGAATTAACTTTGGCTTTTGGGAGTAGAGGGAAGTAAGGGAGTCAAGAGTTTCTGTCTTTCTTATTTATTTATTTATTTTTTTGGTGGTATAAAAAAGAGCACTGGTGTTTTCTGCTTTTGGGTTTTGTTTTTTTTGGTGGGGGGGCTACTAAGGATTAAACCCAGGACTGCTCACCACTGTGCTACATTCCCAAACCTTTTTACTTTTTATTTTGAGACAGAGTCTTTCTTTTTTTTTTTTTTTTTTTTTTTTTTTTATGGATGGTTTCTGATATTTTTTTTTATTGAGTTTATTGGTACATTTAGGGATACAGTACAGTTACATTCATTGTTGGGATCATGTACCTTTACATGGCAAGTCTTGATTCTCATTTTTTTCCCCTTACCTCTGCCCTCCCTGAGACAGAGTCTTTCTAAGTTGCCCAGTCTGGCCTCACACATGATCCTCCTACCTGAGCTTCCTGAGTAGTTGGGATACAGGCATGTGCCTAGCTAGTACTGATGTTTTGTTTTTTGAGGGGGATGTCTTTTATTTCCCTTTTATTTTTACATTAACTTTTCTATTAATATTATGTGGTACTTGATATTAGTAATTACCTATACTATCTGTGCCTTCTAGGTTGTTTCTCAGTGAGTGGCTTTTTTTCAGGCCCAGTTGTGTCTGGAAGCATTTTCATTTTTACTTACATACCTGACAGCTTTTAATGTACTTGTTTGTCCCACAATTCTGCCCCCTTGTTTCTCCTTTGTTTTTCATGGGCTCCAACATTATGTTTGGTCTGTTTTTATAATATGAAATTGGTTTTCCATATACTGGATCTCTGGCACTGCCTCCTAGGCCTAAGGAACTGTTCTCATTTATCATCAGGTGTGTCAGTGAGATGAATAATCTTTTTTCTTTTTTATCAAAGTTGATTTACATACAATAAAATACCTTTTAAATGTATTCATTTAAATGTAATCATTACCATAATCAAAATATGGAATAGCTCTATCACTTAAACTTTTCACTAAACTCCTTGTCCCCCATTCTTTACCCCCACCCACTAAGGTGTTGGGTGAATATTCATTTCAAAGGACCTTTTTCCAGAAGATCCCTAGAGTGCAGACTAAGGGACTCCCAAGATTTATTCAGGAAGTGACCTAAGGTATGAGTTAAAAGTGTGGCTCCTACCCAGTCTAAATTACCACCCTTCTTGTCTCTGGTGTTTATATTTGGAACAAGGGTTCATCTCTCTCCCTCTACTTTGTGCTTGTTTTTCTATGTCATAGAGAAGGACTTTTAAATAATTAGTGTGTAATCATGATCAGTGAACAAGATACAGCTCTTCCAATGTTGTAGAAGTCCTTCCTTGTCTGTACTCCTACTCATTCAACAGTGATAGGTGCTATATTAGAGTTTATGGTCTTAACTAATGAAATCTAACCTGCTGCAGAAAGCACCTTAAAATCTTACTGTATCTTGTCATTCTGAACATTAACATTTATCACAAAGTACTTCACAGTGTAGAAGTGGAATCTACACTGACCCTTAATGTTGATTAAACTTTATCATAGGGTTTTGTTTTTTTGTTTTGGGTACTGGGGATTGAACCCAGGGCTTTCACACTGAAGTATATCCTCATTCCCTTTTTTTATTCTGAGACAAGGTCTTGCTAAATTGCCTGAGTGGGACTTGAATTTGAGATCCTCCCTCAGGCCCCTTGAAGTATTGATTAATGTTTTTAATGATGCAAACCTTTCAGTGACTCTTTGCTGGCTAGCTTTTCAGGTTTTCTTTTCTGTTAATTGCTCATTAGCATCTTCAGGCCACTTTCCCATCTTGTAATGGTGTGGAAGGGTACACAGTAGAAGAGAAGGAGAGCCTAGATGAGAGCCTCCCCTTTCTGCTCTTTTATGCTGGAACAAGTAGTTATGCACACAAGTAGGGAGAGAATATCTAGGAGACAGTGCTGGGACCATTGGGGATATTGGGCCCTTGCTTCACACCATAATCAGAAAAATACTTCAGTCTGTTTATTTAAAGACTTAAGTGTGAAAAGCAGGATAATAAACTTTGGAAGAAAAAAACATATGAATATTTTTATCACTTCCGAGTGGGGAAAAATTTTTTTAACATAAGATTAAAAAAGAGATTCATAAATATTAACCATAAAGTTTTAAGCCTTTTGGCATAGATAGTACAGAGAAGAAATAGCCAGGATATCTTCAAAAGAACTCTTTACACTTAAGTAAGATGTTAGTGAGCAGTTAACAAGAGAAAACTGAATGCATAGCAGAGAATCATAAAGGTTTTCCAAGTGTGAAAGTATTTCAGAGAAATACACAAATTGCACTGTGATAGGGTAGAGATTTGGGATTAAGTTCTAGAGGTAGAGACCACTTGATTTAGGCTAGATATTATAAAAATAAAAATTAGACATTCTACTTAGTACTTAAAATTTGTAATCTAAGGGAAAATGATTCGAATAAATTTAGAAGCTGTATAACTTACCTAAGATCTGTAAGCGTGTAACTTATTTAATTGTTTTGAGCTCTTGCATGATATTTCGTTCCCTGAAAACTTTATATATTTTAGACTTGATTTTATGTCATAATGAAATGTAAAATGCTTATTTTTTTGGTTTAGTTACAAAAAAGTAATCACTTAAAGGCTGTAATTACATACTAGTATTATACTGCCTATTCCTGTATAGTGTTGCAGTTTTCACTTTTGTGAGATTGATTTGTTTCTATTTATAAAAATATTTTGTTTAGATTTCTCCTTTTATATAAAAGTAATGGGACAATACCACAGAGGTGACTGTTAAAATAGCCTTTATTTATAAAATATGCTTAGCCAATAACACCTACTGTGTGTTTCGTGGTCCTGCCAAGGTGACTGTTCCTGCCCTCTCCTGCACAATTGTATTTCCAGACTTGGAGAACTGAACCATGACAGTAAGGCTCTGTTGGAGGTAGGGACTCAGAGTCCCCTGTGCCTTATAAGCTCCCCTCAAGATAGGAAAGAGAGAAACCAATTGGAAAATGAATGTAAGAGTGTGAAACCTATTTAACTGACAAGTTGATCTCAACACTAGAAGCCAATATTTACCATTTGGGTTTCATTTGAGTGACTACAAAATTCAAATCTTCTTAAAGATTTTGGAGTTTAAATTTATCATCATCATTATTGTGCTGGGATGGAACTTGGGACCGACCCTGCGATTGTGCGGCAGGCAGTGGCACCTCTGAGCTAAATCTCCAGCCCTGGAGTTTAAATTTTTAAGGAAAGGACTAGAATAAAATGTTAGAAGGAAAGGTAGCTAAAGAGTCAGAAGGCTGGTCCTTTAGCCCTTGTGTGTTTTTCCCTCTTAGAACAAGAGGAGCAAAACAGTGGGGTTTAATGGTTTTATCAAATTCTGATACTATTGTGTGCTGCTATATACATTTTTTTTTAAGTATCTGTAGCAACCCTTTACATTATTTTGGCTTTAATATGTACCATCATTATTAAGATTCTTTCTCTGCTGGGAAACATATAGAGATCTGAGAAGATAGTATGGATCATTTGTGTTTTTGTCCCAAGTTTTCATAAACAAAGAGGCTGAGGTGATCATTAAATCTATGCTGGACATTTTTAGTCAGATGCTTTTAAAACTTCCCCCTTCCCAGTTAAAAATGACTTTGTCATACTATAGTCACATATATTTATACTGTAAATATAGTGAGAAAAGACAGTAGTTCATCATGTTGGTTTACTTTTTGAGAGTGTTAATTGTAATAATTTTTCCTTTTCTTTTCGGAAGGTGAAAGGGAAAGCCCTGTGTTTGCATTTCCTCTGCTCTTAAGAATAGAAGCCCACATCGAAAAGCTCTTCACATATTCTTTTTCATGGGACTTTGAGTGTTCACAATGTGGACACCGATATCAAAACAGGTTAGTTTTTGTTTAAAATGGATTCATTCTTTTGAAATGGTTCTGAGTGATACAATTTGAATAAAATTTATTTGCACCTGTATCACTATTCTTGTCCAGTTCCTTTACCTTGATAGAATTTCCCACTATATTTTTAAGTCTTTTTACCACTGTGGGTGAAAGGACATATTTGGACATCAGAAATTGCAGTTTACTTGCTACTTTAAACTGAAAGTGTAAAAAAATCCATGGTTTGAGAGGCTGTTAAAAGTTTTTTAAGAATTTAGTGTTGTTAGGCCTTGTGGGGGGTGCACAGCTGTCATCCCATATACTCAGGAGGCTGAGGCAGGAAGATTGTAAGTTTGAGATCAGCTTGGGCAACTTACACTTTGTCTCAAAAAAATTTTTTTGAAAGGAATATATCCAGTAGTAGAGCACTTGTCTAGCATGCACAGCCCTGTGTTCTATTCATAGCATCACAAACAAAAAGCAAAGAATTTCTTTAATGAGGAGTGAAGACGTTTTCCCATTCCTTCCTTTAGTCCCATGAGAATCTGCCTGTACCTGAATGCTTCTGTAGGCCTTTAGGCGAATCTTAGAGAGGCCATGGTGATATACACTAAAATTTGGGTAATCCTCAACATTATGAAGTAAAAATGTGAATAAAGGTATTAGATAATTGCAATCTAAATACAGCATGGAATTCTTTGTAGATATGTATGTGTCTATGTATGTATTTTTTTTTGGTACTGGGAATTGAACTCAGGACCTTAACACTTGTGAAGCAGGCGGCATAACCACTGAGCTAAATTCCCAGGCCTGTATATATTTGTTTTTGAGACAGGGTCTCCCTATTTAGTTCAAGCTGGCCTTTAACTCACTGTGGAGCCTCAACTGGTCTTGAGCTTGCTGTGATCCTCCTGTCTCAGTCTCCCAAGTATTGATAGTACACAAGTGTGCACTACCACACCCAGCTTCTGTAGGTAAAGAGCAAACCGAGAGTTTCCTTTAAGAGAATGCTCTAGATCTTAGAGTCTGGGGAATGCAAGCAAGAGAAATTTTGTTTTTTAACCTGTTAAATTCAAAAGTGTTAGAACAGTGTGAGAATATTTTACTTACACCAGGGCTGGAATAACTAAGCAAGTAAGGATAAGGGCAGATACCTGTTTTCAGGTGTTCTGTCATTGACTTGTATAAATGGTCTGCTTTGCTTCTCACAATAACTCAGAAGTACCCTTATTTAACAGATGAGGAGACAAATACATGAACAGATTTAGAAGGTGCCCAGTGCCTCTGCGAATAGTAATTGGCAGAATCAGGAGGCACAGTTTAGATCTTCTGGTTCCTTAGGCTTTCTTACTCACTGGTAAATCCCTAATCACCACCTGGGTTTGAAATAATATAAAACAAGATTAATGATTAGAATTAGCTTAATTATAGCTTTTCCAGAATCCACATCCTAGTAGTTTGATAGCTTTTCATTAAGTATGTACTGTGTGCCAGGAATTCACCTGGCCATTGGAAGTAATTTTTATCTTGGCCGAATTCAGGCTGCTAGTTAGTCAGGGAGATAATATATGAACACATAGGAGAGGGCCAGTGATTTTGTAAGTAATTTGATCTTTGAGCTCCTTTACATCATCTTTGCACATGGGTTGGTAAACATGCTCTAGTGGTGTGGATAGACAAAGCTCTAAGTGCCCCGGGGAAGAAGCCACCAGCCATTTTGTTTGCATTTTGGTTTTGTTTCTTTAAAAAAAATTTTTTTTGGGGGGGTTTGTTTTTAAAAAACAAAATAGGGCCAGGGATTTAGCTCAGTAGTTCCACCTGCCTCACAAGCACACGGTCCCGAGTTTGATCTATGGTACTCCCAAAAATTAATTAATTAGTTAATTAATTAATGAATAGAGAAAAGCTAAAGTGAAGCAGCATTTTAGTAAATATATTTCAGTGTTATAACTCAAGAACTTCATAATGTAAAGGACTACCCAGCCAATGCATTTGTTTTTGGGCTACTATTTTTGTGCCAGTTTAAATTCTTTATGTTTGGTTTAGACAGTATAATCTGGAGAAGGTTAAAAACCTGGCTGTTGAAGGCAGACTGCCTAGATTCAGGGCTCCAGTTTATCATCGAACACCTGGAGTGTCCTGTGTATTTCAGTTTCCTCTGTTAAATGTTCAGAAGAGTAGAAACTGCCATTTAACCTTGTTTGGAGACCAGGGTTTTTTGTTGTTGTTGTTTTGATTGTTTTTGTTTTTGCTTTTGTTGTTTGGTGCTGGAAAGAACTGCTTTTGAGGCAGGGTGTGGTACCACTGAGCTAAATCCCCAGTCCCACTTAACCTTTTTTGAAGGTGAGTGCCTAGCACTGTGCCTTGCCTTGCATATAATGTCCAGAAATTGTAATAGGGCCAAGCCAGTTGTAACTATAGAGATGTTACAAATTAAATGGAATTAAATGGAATCTGAATTAAATGGAATCCTTTATTATGGTAGCTGGGTCCGGAGGGGACTCTAGTCTCTAAAAGCTCCGGACAAAGGAAAGTCATTTTTTAGCGTTTTTTTGTTTTTTGTTTTGTTTTTTGTGGGGGATACTGGGAATCAAACTCTGGCCCTTGTGCTTGCCAAGTGCAGTGTTCTTTTCAGGGCTTTTTTTATTTGGAGAGGGCTCAATGAGTGGGGGAGCACAAGCTGAACTTCACAGAAGCAGGACTTTGTTAAGTCAGTGGGGGTCAGGGGCAGTTTTACACAGGTTAATTAAAACAAAGTATTGCATAGGTGTAGGAATGTGGTAAAGATAACAGTTATAGACTCACACAGGATGCACTGATTGAGGTCTGTTGTGCATTAATTGAGGGGAGAAGAGAAAGGGGATCATCCGGAATCACTGGACTTTATACAAATAGAGTCAGCTTGGCTTTCACAAAACGTCATTTGTCATTTGGAGTATTAACACGTACTTGAGATAACTTTTATTTACAGTTATGTTTGAAAATGCATTTTAGCGGAATACAAGCAATATATTTGTTAGTACTTCTCTGTTGTTTTTGTATATACAATTTGTATATACAATACAATTTGTATATACAATTGTATTTGTTTATTGTATATACAATAAACTTAAGATTCCTGAGTTTTTGTTTGTTTTTTTTGTTTTTGTTACTGGGGATAGAACTCAGGACCTTGTGCTTACGAGGCAGGCGGTGGAACCACTGAGCTAATTCCCTGGCCCAAAATGTATGTTTTTAATAGCCAGTAGTTTTTTGATTTATGATGTCAGTATTTTTTACTGCATAGAAAAGAATCTTGTGTCTCTCCAGCAATAGGTAACTGCTCTTTTAATTAAATATATATATTTTTAAAGTGGATACAGCTGAAGTTCAGTGTACCTCTTAAAAAATCTTTTTATATGGTTATTGCTATCAGGTATTCAGAGTAAAGTGCAAATTTAGAACTTGAATAAACTATGAAAAAGCAAAATTCTTTCACAGCTAGTACTGTAATTTTTTTCAAAGGATCAAGCAAGTTAAATTGTACATATTCCTGGTTATATATTTGAAGACACCCCTTTTCATTTTTGGTTCTCAGTAATGGTTAGCCAGGTTGAACTGAATAAGAGATGAACTCTTAAATTTGACAACCTGAGAATAGCAGATTTCAGCGAAGGCCTTTATTGCCTCAGCATAGGACATCTAGCAGGTCTGGAGGCATCAATTGCTGCGACTGGGGACTGATACTGGCATCTGGTGAGTAGAGGCCAGGGATGATGCTACACATTCTCCAGCCCACAAAGCAGTGCCTCACAACAAGGAATTTTCTAGTCCAAAATATTAGTGCCACTGTGTTGAAAAGCCCTGCCTTTCACTTTCTTGCTTCAACAGAGTTGTAAAATGGAATATTTCATAAAGAGCGTCTTCACAGAGAACTTTCACACCAGAGATGGGGGGAACATCACCTTACTAATAATATGAGTTAGGAAAATAAGAGTATGAATAAGTAAATGAAGGGATTATTTTAGACATTGGTTTAAATTAATGTAAATGAATTTAATGTAAATGATTTTAAGTTGTGCCTTCTACTTTTATAGGTGTGTCAAGAGCCTAGTCACCTTTACAAATGTCATCCCTGAGTGGCACCCACTTAATGCTGCCCATTTTGGCCCATGTAACAGTTGCAGCAGTAAATCTCAAATAAGAAAAATGGTATTGGAAAAGTGAGTTAAAATTGCCTTATAGTTTTGCTTTTTTTTTTAATATGTTGAATTGAAAGTGTCAACTACACACTACTGTTTAGAAGTTTGAGTTAGCATATACTTATGAATTGCCAGGTGCTGGTCTTCATCAAGAGCTGGTATCCCCACTGAAAGTAAGCTGTCTTCAGTGAAATGCCACTGTAGCAATGACTGGTTGTCTGGCCTATCCTCCTGATCCTGATGTTGTTCTTCTTTTTTATTTCCTCATTTCTTTTTTCACTCCTCATTTCTTTTTTCACTGTATTGATATTAGACTTCAATTATTTGCTCTGGCCAAGTGTCTATAAAGTCATCAGATTTCTGTCTTAGATCTTAGCCTGCTGATTCTTCATTGCCTCGTAAGCTTTTTACTACTCTTGAACAGATGTGTTTTCATTATATTTCGCTGACTTTTCTGTTTGTCCTCAGTGGGAACATTGGTCAGAACTACCTTGTCCAGTGTTACCAGAGGCACTGTCTTTAAATTCACAGTCAGTTCCCTCTTTAGAAGTTCCTCTTGTTAATCCACTCGCCCATGTACCCATCCTCTTTAACATTAATTTTCAGTCTGAGTCTACATTAAAGAAATGAAGTATAACTTGGTGTAGTAAAGAATTTGTGACATCGGGGATTTAGCTCAGTGGTTCTGCTGCCTGCCTCACAAGCGCAAGGTCCTGAGTTCGATCCCTGGTACATCCCCCCCAAAAAAGAATTTGTGACATCGGGGATTTAGCTCAGTGGTTCTGCTGCCTGCCTCACAAGCGCAAGGTCCTGAGTTCGATCCCTGGTACATCCCCCCCAAAAAAGAATTTGTGACATTAACCTCTGGTGCCCTTGAATCTGCCAGAAACTCCTCAGAATCCTTCCTAAAGTTTATTCTCAGTGAAGTAATAAGTTATCTGTTAATTTAATACTGCCAAAAGGCTTGACAGAAGGAAAAAGGGACAGTCTCCCAGTTTTTGCTTCAATCAAAGCAGCATCGCCTTTGACATGACAAAGTGATCTTTTGCTTCATTGTAGTGTTCTGTGTTTTTTTCTCTATAGTGGTTGAGGATGAAGATGCCTTCAGCAGCACCTGGACTTCATCTCTTTAGTTTTTCTCTGTCCTTAAACTGGAAAGTATGTTTTTGGTTAAAGCACAGTATTCAATGTTTGTGTTAGTGTTAAGGTATTTCTCCTGAGCCAAGTGGTGTGCATCGTTAGCTTCTTTATTCTTCCTAGTATTGTCTTGTGTTTTCATTTGCTTTATTATTCTCTATGAATTTTTTTTTATAAATGGTTTAAACAGGTCCCCCTCCCCTCTTTTTTTGCGACAGTCTTGCTAAGTTGTTGAGGCTGGCCTTAAATTTGCAACTCTGTCTGATTCTCCTGAGTTGAGTGAGTAAATTACAGGTGTGCACCTCCACATTCAGTGACAATTTCTAACACTCAGATTGCTTTAGGTGTTTTGACCTTCCACCTCCCCATCCCCATTTTTACTGGAAAGCTCTGTCCTGTGGACTTCCACCCTTGGCTACAATTTCCCATTCTGCACTGGTGCATCTCTGAGTGTGGCACATAAGAGTCCTCCTTATACCCACTGTCACTCCCGATCCCAGTGTTTATCCTGGGCCTTATCCCCATATTCCATGACATTTATTGCCTATACATATTGAGCCCTTACAGAGTTCTGTGGTGCAGATAAGTTATCCTATGTATGCTTGCTCCATGGTGCTTATGTCATTACTTCATCTGTCCTGCTGCTTACAGTGCAATTTCTCTGTCTGCTTTCTGTCTTCTAAATATTTATTGATTCCTTGTTTGTTCATTTTCTTTCTCTATCTTTTTGGGCCAGTACCTGTTTTTGTCCTTCATTATCATTTGATAGCATCTGAGTGGGTGGCAAATTGGGAAGGAAGAGAAAGTGGCTTTAACCTGGCTTTGCTATCTAGTTTTGGAGTTTCATAAGTGGTTAGGGATTCTTATGGTAAGTCTTCCTTGATAATGAGGCAGAAAGGCAGTGGGGTATGGCCATCTGCCATCTTCCTTCGGTGCATTGAATTGCTTGAGGCTTCTTGGTAAATATAATTTCATCTGATGTTTATATTTGCTTTTTCTCAAGCCTCAGGATTAAGAATGAATTCATTTTGTTAATTTTGTTTGATGTGTTACTTGATTCGATTCCATTGCACATAACACTTTTTAATTATACTGATACCTTGCTTTACTTGCATTAAGGATTCATGCTGTGATTAGGAAACTGACCCATTTCAATCAAAAATATGTTTTAAGTTCCACTGGGGATATAAAACAAAATTTATAATTCAGACTTTTCCTGTATTCAAAAGTAAAGTGAATTGAATGTAAAATTTCACTCAAATTTTAAATGATGAGATCTTTATACAAGTCCTTTATAGATTTTTATTTTGAAATTTGTGTTAAGTTGATTTGGTACCTAATGAAATTTAGAAACAAACTTAATGTAGTTTCTAGGTATAACTTAAAAGTAATTAAACCTATCATGATACCATGAGTAATTGGATGGTACAGCATTTAGAAACTGTTACAAGTTCTCTTTGTCTCCGATAAGCCTTATCTTTAATATGTTCCCATCAGAGAAAAAGTCCATTATTAAATCAGATAAATGATACCTAGCAGGTCCAAATCTTCTGTCCTTTTAATTGTTTAGGAATTATATTCAGAGCGTGGTGATATAGAATGCCAGGATCTTAGAATCGGATTTAATTGTGCTTCTGAAGACTTTGAAATGAGCTTCTTAGTATTGCCACATTCTCCTTTAGGAGTCTGGTCATAACCTTCAGCTTTAACAGTGATTTTTTTTTTTTTTTTTTTTTGGTACTGGGGATTGAATTTGGGATCTTGTGCTTGCAAGGCAGGCGGTGGAACTATTGGGCTAAATTCCCAGCATCTTTTTTTTTCTTTTGAACAACTACTGAAGTAGTAGGTTGTGCTTATTGAACTTATTCAAGTGCCTCATTTTGAGGCTTTCATTTTTTAAGAAGATAAACTACACTATCCCCTACAAAATGTTGGGCAGAATATTAATATATAAAATAGTTTAAATTATATTGGTAATTAAGTTTTCATTGTTTGACAGAAAATGCTTTATTATTTATTACAAGATTTTTTAACTTCTTCCCCCAAAAAGTTTGTAAACCTTTGTTGAACAAAGTTTTCTAATCATACATTTTCTTATTATAGTTAGTATGATCAGTCCACTTATTTGAGTTGCTTATTTAATTCATAGTCATTTCTTGTCAGAGTCTGAAATGATAGTTGAAATAATATAATAGACCTTAAAATCTGAAACTTAAAAATTACATTTGCAGATATTTTTCTACCTAAAGTCTACCTTATTGCTGTTCAGATGTGTATAATATTCACATTGTTAAATTTGCATGTTCTGAAATAATGGATTATCACATATTTGGAATGAAAATTAAAAATGTACTCCAGGTCATTTGTACAAGATGTGGCTGTTAGTGGTGTGGAGTCTAGTTTCTGCTATCTTTGTAAAGCTGGTATTAATATCTCTTTATGCTTTCTTTCTCTCCCTCTAATATTGATATAGCATAGTATAGTTTAGTGGTACATTTTACAATCATGACATCTTGGATTCAGTGAAAAAAGTATAAAAGTGAAGGGAAAGAGTTCAGTGTTACAGCTTCTAGGATTTTGTAGGTTTTTAAATTTTGAGGACTTGATTATTCTCTAACAAAATAATTGATAGAGTAATTTACAAATTACTCCTTGTCAGTCTGAACAATATTGCATTGTGTACATTGATTCGTTTATTTCAGCTGAATAAATTTTGATAAGCTATGTTAAGTTTTGACAGCTGTTTCAATATTAGGAAAAGGAGTATTCAACATTTTTCTTAAATCCTGAGAGCTTTGTTGAAATTGAGTCTCATCTGTGGGTTTTGTTTTCTGGTTTGACATGTTGGCAGTAATGGTGAATTGTATTTTTAAAATCATGGATATCTTGAAATTTATAACATATCAACCCAGTGTTTTATTTTCTTCTATACGTAGTTACAAATTAAGCTTTTCCTAGATAGAAATCTTAATTTAATAGACTTCTGTACTTCTTACCAGAGAGAAAAAGGCCAAATTAATGTTCATTTGAATATCTTTGGCTTATTACCTTGTTTTTATATATTACCCCACCTAACAACTTGGGCATTTGTGGCCAAAGAATTCTGAAAGGTTTGGACTTTTCCTTTGAATTCTACAAAATAGCTAGTATGAGATCTTTTAAGTCAAAGCATTATTGCTGCTTATAGAACAATTTTTTCTTTAATGATCTGTCATCTTACTGCATGAGGCTTCCAGTTGTCAGAGATAACATTCCAAAAAGGTTTAGTGTTGCATACTTGAGTGAATTCTCCATTTCTAATTAAATCTGGAGGTCCTCAAGAAAAATTAAGTCCAGTTCGCCTTAGAAGTGTTAGTCTAATCACTTAAGATCATTTTTTGTATAAGCAGACACATGGCATTAAATTTGACTCCTCTTGTCTTCTCCCCTAGAATGTCTCCCATATTCATGTTGCACTTCGTAGAAGGTTTACCGCAGAGTGACTTGCAGCACTATGCATTTGAGTTTGAAGGCTGTCTTTATCAAATAACATCTGTAATTCAGTACCAAGCAAATGATCATTTCATAACTTGGATTTTACATACTGATGGTAAGTGTTTACAATGTTTTTGAAATAATAATAAGTGTGAAAGCCAAATACTAGTGGATTTTCTTTTAGATAAAATTTGCCTTATTTTCTCCCCCCACCCCATCTTTTTTTTTAACTGTATCAGGAATCATACTCAGGACTTTGTGCTTGCCAGACAAGCACAGTGCCACTGAGCTATCTCCAGCCCTTTTCTCTCTATTCTTGCCTTTGCCTGTAATTCTTCTGCTCCCTCCCCTCCTATGAAAAGTTTGATGAGTTTAGTATCCTTCCTAATTCTCCTATCATGTATTTCTAGGCCTATGTATTTTATGGACGTATGTATGATTTTTTTTAGACAAAGGATGAAATCATATTTGTTTTGCAGTTTGCTATTTGCTTAATATTTTTACTTTTATAAGATTAACATGTGTAATATATGTCCAATATAGAAAAATGAATGGTGGGAATTTTAATTTTTGAGATAGTTTATGCTTTTGAAAGGGAAATACATCAAATTGAAGGCTTTTAATTGAGAATAACAAAAATAAATTTTGCTAGTTGGCTATTGTAAATATAAACAAAATTCTGTTTCGTTTTGTTTTGTTTTGGAATAGGGTCTTGCTGTGTGATTCAGGCTGGACTTGTGTTTGTGTTGATCCTCCTGCCTCAGCCTCCCAAATGCTGGGATTACAGGCATGTGCTACCATGCCCAGCAAATTTTATGTTTAAGATTTAAACATTAGACTGTATTGCTCTTCTTTCACGGAAGTAGAATCTGAAATCATAGTTTGCTAACAGATATGGTCAAGGTAACACCTTTACTTAAACTTCTTAATAGAAGGCTGAATAAGTACAGTCCACAGATTTGGAGGATTTTTTTTCCCCTTCTCTTTCTTCCGTGTAGTTTAATGCTGCCTTTGATTCCTCACAGTGTTCTCTTGTCTTAGACAAGATAATGTGTCTTCTTAGAGCAGTGATGGCAAACCTTTTAGAGACCAAGTACCAGACTGCAGCCCAGAACCCACTTACTTATCGCAGAGTGCCAACCCTGTGATTAAACCTGAATATTGAGGTTTTAGTTTAGAAAAATCAACTCATACATTAACATCTTTTGTCTTAAAAACATAATAATGTGCACGCACAGGTACATCACCACTGTCTTAGAGTGTAGTATCAAGCCCTTGGGGCTATTTTGATATAAACATTTTCTTTTGTTTGGGTACTTTTCCTATTTGATATTTTCCTCCTAAGGTGGTTTGGATGAATGATTATAATACTATATTATGAAAGGCACTTTTCAAACTGAAACACGTTGAAATGTAATTATTACCTTGAAGTTTTACCCTATAACATTTTGGGAGGAGATAAATTCTCTATAACGTATGCCAAAATAAAAAACCAACTTATTTCAACTTCTTTTGCACTCCAGAGAATGTCAAATCCATTTCAAGTACAGCATAATTTCCAATCCTGATAGCATATATAAAAATTCATTTGATTAACTTATAAAAATGCCCAGACTCTACCACAGATCAGTCTTAGAGACTGGGCCAAAATAGCAGTATTGTTCTAAGTTCTCCAGATGTGTTCTTTGTAGAAAATAATTCATATAGGCAAACTAAAGAGTCCAGAGTTTCAGTGAATATAAGATAGTAGATTCAAGGGGCCGGTCATTTGGCTCATTGGTTCCGCCGTCTGCCTCACAAGGTCCTGAGTTCAATCCCTGGTACCAAAAAAGAAAGAGAAAAGATAGTAGATTCAAGAAGTGTAAGGGCTGAGGATTTAGCACAGTGGTTCAGTGGCCTGCCTTGCAAGCGCAAGGACCCGAGTTCAATCCCCGGTACCAAAAAGAAAAAAAAAAAAGTCTATATCCACATAAAACACAGAACTTTTAAATGACTTTGCTTATACATAGGGACAGTTAGCAGATCTGAACTATCAGACTTAACTATTGGAATCTATATTTCTGTTGTGTGATCAGTGTACTCCGTTTACTTTATGTCAGATATATATAAAGAGTCAATATTTTACTCTTGTTTTTAATTTTTTTCTTTAGGAAAAGTTTTTTAACACGTTGGATCTTAGACTTATTTATTGCTCTCACTTGTTATATTAGAAATTAAGTATTCTATTAGCAGCTAAATTGGCCTGAAGTAGCAGCTGAGGGAAGGTCTTTTTCTCCTTTAACTTCCCTTTTCAAGATTAATGCCTTGTAGGATGCCTAAAGCCTATGACACATAAGAAATAGCTTTCTCAGCATTAAAAAGTAAGTAGGATGGATATACTAATTCATACAAGCTGTGAGTTGTTTCTGTGTGCTTTTAGCAATCTGTATTTTTAAAAGGCAGATGCTTATATACAAGGAAAAGGGAAAGGAACTTGTAGTGCACTTTGTATGCTTAAGTGTCTGTAAACACTTGGCAGTGTTAAAGAATGCTGTACTGATTGTCTCTACTGCTAAAACAGTGTTTCCTAAAATACTGTGCTCTTGAAAAAAGTGGTTTGTGTGTTCACTACTATAATTCAAGGAATAGAAAATAATTTCACAGTGTACACAATGATGTTTAACATCATGCTTTATTTACCACATTCAGTTTCATAGAAGTAGGTACCTATTTGCTATGGCACAATTCTCATGACATTTTTATATTTTTTTCATAAATGTATAGATACTGACACATACAGTGGGGGATCAGTAATAAAAGCACAGATGCCTGTTGATAATTGGAAAGCTGTTATTTATCCAGACCTATAGTTAGCTTTTCTCAAATTGTCACGTGGTAATAAGCAAAATATAAACATGACTTTCTTTAACCCCACCAGCTCTTATCATCTAGCCATATTCCTTTACTTCTCAACTATCCTTTTTGTGTGTATTTTTTATTGTGGTAATGTATACATAACATAAAATTTGCCATTAACATTAGGTTTGTAATCCATTGATATTAAATACAAAGTTTTGTACAGACATCAATTTCTAGAATTTGTTCATCATCCCAAACTGAAACTACTCATTAAGCCTTAACTCTCCATTTTCTCCCCATGTCCAGCTCTGGTAATCACACTCTTCTGCTTTGTGTCTCTGATTTTGACAACCTTTAGGTACCTCTTTCGAGTGGAATCATACAGAATTTGTTGTCTTATGTCCTGTTTCATTTAGGATGTTTTCTAAGTTCGTCCATGATAGAGAATATTTAAAATTCCCTTATTTTTAAAGCTGAATGATAATCAGTATATGTATTATCCTTTCATCTACTGATACATTTGAGTTTTTACATTTTAGCTATAATGAAGAGTGCTACTGTTGATTAACAAGTATTGGGGTCTTGTTTCCAGTTCTTTTGGAAATATACCTATAAGTGAAATTGCCAAGTATGGTAATTCTGTATTTAATTTTTTGGAGGAATGGCTAGATTGTTTCCACGGCTTCTGTACCTTCATATTCCCATCAGCAGCACATAAGCAATTTCTCTACATCTGCCAACATTTTTATTTTGTCGTTGTTGTTGTTCTTTTTAAATAGTAGCTATCTTAATAGGTGTCTTTTTTCCCCATCTAAGGAATAGTTTAAGCAAGTAACTTGCTTATTCCTCATGCTCCAGTCAGCTACAGAATGACTCCTCTTCCTACCACATACCTGAAACTGTACATTGCAAAAATTACTATAAGTAATGGACTCTTCACAGGTTTTTTCTTTTCTCAGTACTTAAGTGTTTTGATACTGTAGACAATATTCCCAGTCCTTAAACTTGTCCCTTGTTTTTTGTCATCTCATCCCTGCTTGATAAATGAGAAGACAGACTCAAAAATAGGAATTGAAACATTGTATTGGTAATTGAGATAACAAACTTTATTTTATCTAGAAAATTCATACAGATGAAGCAGCTTATTCTATTTTCTGATGTTGGATAAATTTGGTGATAGTGTCTAAGACCCGAAAATTAAACATAATTTGTCTTGTTTTTAGTGGGTGTTTTAGAAAAGAGTATAAACTATCCAGAGAACTACTCCAGATTTTCACACTTCTTCATATGTTAGTCTATAACTTATTTTATCATCCAAATAAGGACTTTAATATTTGGCAGAGAAGAATGGTGACGAGAAAAAGGTCATGTGTTAAAATGTTCTTTGATTTGTATTCAGTATTTCGGCAGTTTAAAAGGCCAGAAGTGGACCTAGGATGGTGACTTGTGAATGTCTAATCTCTGACTTTTTTTATCATCCCCCAGGTAGTTGGCTGGAATGTGATGACCTAAAGGGTTTATGTGCTCAAAGGCATGAGAAATTTGAAGTTCCCGCTTCAGAGATACATATTGTTATCTGGGAAAGAAAAATATCTCAAGTGACAGATGAAGTGGCTGCCTGCCTTCCACTTAAGAAGACTAATGATCAGCATGCTTCCAGTGAAGAGAAACCAGCCTGTCCAGCATTTCGTTCTGTGGGTCAGGCTGCCTCAGCAGGAGCATCCTCAGTCATTCTACCCACATCTCTGTCACTTGCTCCTCATACTCTCCCACAGGACAAAGCTGCGGCTCATGATTACCTACTTTCAGATCCGAAAGTTGGGGTTGACAATAATATTTTACCTCTGACACTTGAAGGAACTGTCTGGAAAACTGCCTCACTTTTTCAGGTTAGCACTGAAGCGTTCCTACCAGAAAACACGCCTGTGGCAGAAAATACAGAACTTCTCAAAACAAACACTTTGCAATATCAAAAATCATATAAAGAAAAGGCCCAGGCCCAGTTTGTAGATTTAAGTTACCCACTGCAAGTTGTAAATACAAACACACATTTGGTACAGCTGAATGCGGAAAATACTGCAGTTACTCAGCCTGTGAGTAATACTCATGTTACTGGTCTTACACAGGGAATAAAGTCAGTGGAAGTTGAAAAGGATACTCAGTTAAAACAGTCTCTTTCATGGAAAACTGAGAAATTAGAACCAGAACAACCTTCTATATCTCAGGTATCTAACTTGAAAAAAAAAGAAGCCACAGCAGACCCACAGACTATGACAGCCAGATCATCAAAGAATCAGCCCCTGAAAGAAAATCAAAAGAAACCTTTTGTGGGAAGTTGGGTTAAAGGCCTGCTAAGCAGGGGTGCTTCTTTTATGCCGCCTTGCGTTTCAGCTCATAATAGAAACACTATAACTGATCTGCAGCCTTCAGTTAAAGGAGCAAATAATTTTGGTGGCTTTAAAACTAAAGGTATAAAGCAAAAGACAAGCCATGCATCTAAGAAAGCTCATAGATCTGCAGATAAGCCTGCAGTCAGCAACCCTCCACCAGGTCTTCCATTGTCAGAGAACGCAGCTGCTCATTCACATACAAGTGAGAATGCTGCTTCAGAACTTCTGAAGGAGCTGGAAAGCACCTCACATGGAACTCACCTCAGTCACCCTTCTCACAGAAGGGAAAATGGGGTTTCTTCAGCAAACCATGGAGATTCAGCTGAAGGTCAGATTCATAAGCTTCGTCTAAAACTTCTTAAAAAACTAAAGGCAAAAAAGAAGAAGTTAGCTGCACTCATGTCTTCCCCTCAAAGTAGAACACTTCCTAGTGAAAATTTGGAACAGGGGTCCCATTGTGAGTCTCCAAATGATTGTGAATCAATAGAAGACTTACTAAATGAGCTACAGTATCAAATTGATGCTGCAGATAATAAATCTGGATGTGCCACTATTTCTAGTGTGTCCTCATATAATAATCAAACTCATGAAGAAATTTTAGCAGAATTACTGTCTCCAAGTATTTCAACAGAGCTCTCAGAAAATGGGGAAGCTGACTTTAGGTATTTGGAAATGGGAGACAACCATATCCCAGCACCAGAACCTACTGAATTAATTGATAATTCCCAGAACATACATCTGAAACAGGAGCATAATTATTGCAGCCCCCCTAAGAGGAACCAATGTGAAGTTCAGCCAGTCCCACAAATAAACAATGCCTACATAAAGACATTAAACTTGGAGAGCCCCATGAAGACTGATACTTTTGATGAGTTCTTTTCTACTGCATTAACTTCTTCAGAAAATGACTCCTTAGACTTACCTCATTTTGATGAATATCTGTTTGAGAATTATTGAGTACTCGTTGACTCTTTTTAGTTTAGTATTTATTATTGCTGTTAGAAAAACTTAACTGTTTTCAGGTAGTATTTATACACTGTCCTTGTAATAACCATGAATGAAATTTAAGCTGCTGAAAGTTTACTTCGGGTCCTGCCCATGAAGCATATAACCCGTTAGACAAAATAATCAGGAATTGTTTTCTCCTTACTGATTTCATTTTGTAGTAAAGTATTGTAAGGAAAATGAGGATTTCAAATATTAAAGATGAAAAAATGTCTAGTTTCTAACAATTTCTACAGTTGAGTGCATTAAATTTCTGGATTTTAAGTTATGATTATGTTGCTCAAGAGAAACTATGGCTTGTACTGAAAAATTGTTCTCTAAAACGTTTGACTGGGTGACAGTTTTGCTTCTGGTTCTGTGGTTTTACATAAGAGCCTAAGGCTTTTTCTTTTTCCGTTTTTTTGTTTTGTTTTTTGGTACCAGGGATCAAACTTGGGACCTTGCTCTTGGGTGGCAGGTGGTGGTGGCACCATTGAGCTAAATCTCCGGCCCTAAGTTTTTCTTACCCCAGTATGGTGCTTCCTCAATGCCACTTGTCAACTTTTCTCTCCTTACAAAGGATGGCAGGAAATGATTACTAAACTTTGAATAATATTAAATAATCAATAAATGACCTATAAAAAGAAAAAGCAATCTGTGAAGGTGTGCCAAGGTTTGCATGCTGCCATAAATACCATCTTTCTTCTCAAGACATCTCTGTAATCAAAGTGAGATGCCAGCTAACAGTTCTGTGGGGAAGAATAACCATGCTTACAAAGCTTGCTACATGTTGGATTCCATTATATATGAAATGTTAATTCATTTAAAACAAAATTCCTATAAGTGAGATACTTTTATCACATTTTACAAATAAACAGTACATAGCTGGTAAGCTGTAGAGCAGGGTTTAAGTAGAAATCTTTACCACCGCAGTTAGACATGTTGAGTTTGTTACTCCTTGTTCTGCCTCTCAAACTTTATGTAAAGTTTGGATCCCCAAACAGTATTACCTCTAGTGATTTGAATTGGTTTAAGTAAAGAGTGGGAGTCGTTGGTAAAATATCTTTTCAGGAACTCAGTATTTCATAACTTGCCAAATTTATTCCCAAATCTCTCCTTTTTTTATTATAAATAAATATATATATATATATATATTCTATGGGAAAACTTGAGTTTTGAGTCATCCCAGTGATAACTACTGCAAATATTTTTGTTTTGTTTTGTTTTTGTACCAGGGATCAAACTCGGGACCTTGTGCTTGCGAGGCAGTTGGTGGAACCACTGAGCCAAATCCCTGGCCCAAACATTTTTCTGTTTTGATGCACAGACTTTTAAGAATGAGATATATCTATTTGTATGATATTTTTCCTGAATATTTAGTATTTCTCCATGTCTTGCACTTCTGAATACCTATTTTAATGATGCCATACGTGGATGGAAAACTTATTTTGCTTATTTCAGATTCTGAGATGACATATACTGTTCTCTTACACTGCAGTAGTTATACTTTGTAAATTATTGCACAGATCCAAATTTTAATTTTTGGAATTAGAATCGCTAGATCAATGAATATGTAGACATTTAAAGTTTTGTTCGTTTGAGATGGGGTTTTCTTGGTAAATTACCCAGGCAGACCTTGAACTTGAGATCTTTCCACCTTAATTTCTTGAGTAGCTGGAATTACAAGCCTTCTGCACTACACCCAGCCCATAAAGTCTTTAATGGTGGCTTGTTTGGCTCTCCTGAACCCTCACCACCACTAGGTAATGACATTGGAGAAACAAGCTTTTTTTGTTTACATTTCCAAATTTACTATTGAGGTTGAACATTTTTTGTAACTGTTGGCTAGTTGAATTTCTTTTAAGGAATTGTTCATCCTTATGACCATTGAATGTTTTTAGATTACTGTTAAGGATTTAACACTTGTAAACCTGAGGTAAGACAGTAAAATAAATTTTTGCTCTTTGAAGAATGTCTTCTAAGGGAAATAACAGGTGGTGGTAGAAGACATACATACAATTCTTGGTGTTTTTGGTAGTCTTGAGCAAATTCACCATGAAATACTGAACCATTGTTCTTAGGGGGAATGCAGGATTAGGTCGTATTTCTGTTCAAAGACAATTTACTTAATGTTAGTATTAGTTTAGTAATGTTGAACTCAAGACCAGCAAATGACATCATAACTAAGGCCTGAATGAAGCTTACCTAATGGATTTTTCTTTTTAAGTCTCATTGTGGCTGTCTGCCTTGTGCTTGGGAACACTAGAAAGCACTCAGCTCTATGCTTAGGCTCATTTTAAACAGTGAAATCACCAGAAAGCACAAAAATGTGAAAAGATGGCACTAAATGAACCACAAAAGAGTCTATTTGACTACAATATGAAAGCTGAAACAAGGCAGTGTTGACTTGCTGGACCTCAGCTGGAAATGCATTTAGCAACTCATATTTTGTTTTGAGCATGTCTACAAACAACCATGAAAAGCAAAAGTTGACTTTTAGGGTTACAAGTAACTTCGCAAGTAGGTGAATTTATCACTATGGAATTTGCAAGTTGAGGATTGGCAGTTAGATGGTACTAAATACTATGGGGAAGAAAGGTGAGTGGGGAGCTATCTTGGACTGGATAAAGGCTTGCGGAGTCTTGGAGGTAAGTGATATTTGAAAAGCTGAAGAATTAGCTGTGACTAGGGAGAGGGCAGGTAATGAACAACTGTGCGGCATGTCTGGCTTGCTATAATAGTACCTTTGGGGTGTTTATACGTAATACAAATTAATTTCTCACTTCTGGGTGCTGGGAAGTCCAACACTAAGGCACCAGCAGTGCCCACAAAGCCATTTGAGACCTGTTATCTGCTAACACCTTTAATCTTTCATTCTTCCCTCCCCTGTTCATACCACTCAACACCACTGGTCTCTGCTGTTCAGTCATGCTGCTATATGGTCTCAAAATGTCCCCCCAAAATTCATGTTGAAATACAAATCCCCAGTACAGTATCAGACTGTTAAAACTAGTGTGAGTGGGTATACGACATTTTCTGGGGCCTATAGGGGAGTATCCGGTCAAGGTTTTTGTTACTTTTAAAATGGGAGATGCGTGTGTGTGTGTGAATATCACCTGGAGAGAGAAATGTAGTTGAGAATCAGCAGTTGGAGCAGATTCTGTAGGGATGGGATCCACTGTAGAAGTGGGGGAAAATGTGACCAGAGAAATTTATTTTAATGTGAGGGAAGATAGTACTTAGTTATAGACATTAGGAAACTGGTGAGAGAAGAATGAGAAAGATGCCTTCTGATTATTTTCTTGAAACAGATCCATTGTGTGAAGGAAGGAATTGAGACGTTTGCTGAACTAGTTTCAGAGTGAGGACAGCTAATCCAATAGGGCCATACAGGAAACCCAGTGGGTATTAAATTTAACTGAGAGCAAAGATGATGGTGGGGCTTTTGTTTTTTGTTTTCTCCCATGTAGCTGCTTAGGTGCGGGTCACAGTGTCGAATGTGGGAAGCTAAGTCTTAGCCATAGTACGCAGATGGAGGAGAAAATTAAGATTTTATGCATGGACAATGCTGTAGTTTGGATCTGGAATGTCCCCCAAAGGGCTGTGTACTAAATTCTTGGTCTCCAGCTTTGCCCTGTTTGGAAGTAATGGAACCTTTAAGAAGGCCTAGTGGGAAGTCTTTAGGCCATCGGGAGCATGCCCCCGAAGGGGACTGTGGAACTCCAGCCCTTTCCTCTTTTTCTTTTTGCTTGACCATGAAGAGCCTTCTGTCATCATATGCTGCTTTATCACAGGCCTGGTTACCATGGAATGAAACTTAAAGCTGAGCCCAAGGAATTCTTTTCATTTTGTAAGTTGACTCTTTCAGGCATTTGTTAGCAATAACTGACTGCCACAGGTAATTGTTATTGTGATGGATAAGGACAGAGGACTAAGGGTGGCTTGGAGGAGAGTTCCAAGCATGCCAGAGTAGGACTGGTGGAGCAAGGAAGCTGGTTAGAAAGTGGTGTGGTTGAAATAAAGCTTTTCGAGGTAGGACTTGATGATGAAAACCTTTGAAGTATAACAAGTACATGAAAGTGCATTTGAAGGAATGAAGATGGTGTATGGATTGTCTTTGGGGAAGGCAAAGTAATCTAAATGGCTGTAGGAGTGCTTCAGTAGCCAACATACCAAAGGAAAGAGAATATAGTTGGCTATCTGTGGGTTCCACATCTGCAGATTTAAATCTGATATTTGAAAATATATCTGGACTGAATTATGTGCAAACCTTATTTCTCATCATTATCCGCTAAATGAAATGATATACAGTATATGAGAGGATGTGAGTAGGTTCTCTGCAAATGCTATGCCGTTTGACAGAAGGAACTTGATCTGAGGGGTCCTGGAACCCATCCTCTGTTGTTTTTGTCTGCAAACCTGCTCGTGGAACAAAGGTTTAGGGACACGGACTGGGAGGGCAAGGCACAGAATCACCAAGCAGACTCTGGTGAGGTTTCTGGAAGGCTTACACTTTTAATAAGTTCAGCCAGCAATTTATAAAGTTTTGAAAGAAGGAGTGGCAAAGGGGGAGTAATATATTTGGCTTAACAGGATCGGTTATTGGAGTGTCCTTGGACGAGGCGAAGGAAGCATCCAACTAGGGGGGACAGGTGAGGCCATAGCTGGACATAGACAAGGCTCAACGCACAAGCTAGGCCTCTATTAGTGTGCTAGGAGACATACGTGCAGTGCAGTTGTCCCAGCCAGGCTTGACCTCTCCTACAATCCCCCAAGAATACTGAGGCAATACCAAAGGAACAGGAGCAGGTGAGTCAGTCTAAAGAATTGCTTCAAAGATGCTGGGTGGTGTTAAGGGGGATGGGGAGCAGTTGAAATAGCAGCAAGGAAGAACTTGGCCCATCTCCAGGTCCAATAGTATAATGGGAGACAAAACAGCCACTATAATCAGGGCTGTAGGAATAGCTGTTTCTTCAGGGAAGAGTCATTTCCCTTGGCACAAGGGCAGGGAAGAGACTTGGCAGAGTTGAGGCCATGGGAGGTCCTCAGATGAGAGGTCAGGGGTAAGAGAGATTGGGCAATTGAGTGAGATTAGATCTGGCCCTTTAACATCCCAGGAAGCCTAGAGTTTGTAAGGTGACAGCTCCATCAGAGTGCAGGTCCTGATAGAATTAGAACAAGAGGTTCTCATGGTTGCATTGGTCTCATACTTGCCTCTTGGGCAGTGGGAAAGCTGTGGTGGAATGGGCGCCTCTGGAAAGGAAGAGGCTAGGCACACTCATCTGAAAAAGAAGCAGGAGCTCTAGGCCTCTCCTATTTCTTTGCTAGTTGAATAGGGGTCTAGTTTATAAGCAATAAGAAGGGATCCCGTCTGCCTGAGGCAGCGTGGTAAGACAGCCCCTCTGCTTTGACCTTATAGGAGAGCAACTTTAAAACCAATCCACGTTAGTTTCTTGTTTTTGCTTTCTTTTCTCTGCCTATAAAGTCTTATCTCCTTGACTCAACTCCTCCGAACACCTTTCACTTCATAGATGGGATGCTGCTCAGTTAATGAATTGTTAAAAATTAAATCATAAAAATTTGTTGAAATATTCTTTTTCATAGCTTTTCACCACTAAGGCCTACACTCCCACATCCCTACCAGTGTTCCCCCAGCAAACCACAGAAGGAAAGGGGGCTCAAAATTACATCAGGAGGCATATCCATGAAAAGACATTTATTCTGCAAACAGTAAAAGTACTGAAATGACCATAAGTGTTTGGTATTGGAGATGTTTAAAATAATCAGTAGATTAAATGTAACCACAGAAACGAGATCATAAGAAGGAACACTGTGAAATACTTCAGACCACAAATGAAAACACATTTTTCTGTTTAGTTACTATGAGTACTTAATAGCGTGGTAAAGTACCCTTCTTGCCTGTCCACCCTTAATTATAGC